TTATGTATAGCCATTGTTGCACAAATGATTTTAACTTGTGTTTCATAGTCATAGGATGACATGTTTCGTAAGATTGCAAACTTATTTTTCCAAACTCCGAAAGTTCTTTCAACTGTACTCCTTAAACCTGAATGGAAATAATTAAAGATCTCATTTTCATTTTCAAGCGTAGATGTCCTTCAAAAATCAGGCAGATGGTAATGCTCCGATCTATCTAGGCCGAGATATCCATTTGGTGTTGGGTATCCAACATCCACCAAATAATATTTTCCTATATCAAAAATAAAATAATTGTAAATAATGTTTCTATTGTTAAGCTAACTATAAATAAAATGTAGGAAATAAAAAAAACCCTCAGGTGGATGGGGAAAGTTCATTGAAGGAGTTGTGAAGGCATAATTAAATATCCGAGCATCATGTGCGCTACCTTCCTATCCGGTCAAGACAAAAGTAAAACACATGTCCCAATCATAGACCGCCATGACATTTTACGACACTGTTCTTTTTCTAGAAATAAATTTAGTTTGATCTGTTGCACTAACAACACAGTCAACATGTGTGCCATCAAGTGCTCCAATAGCATGTTTAAAAAAAGGCCAGTATTTACCAAACAGTATTTTTGTATGAGCATGCCAGAATGTTGGATCTTTCGGTTTGATATTAGACATGAAAGTCCACAGCATGCCATTAAGACATTATGAAAATGTCTGCTAATTGTCTCCCTTGAACGTGACGTCTTTCTTGTTGCATTCTGCTACTAAGTGCGTGGCCAATGGTATGTAAAAACGTTGCAACTAATTCATATATCCCTATATTTTTAGTTTCTTTTAGATCATGTTGTTGCAATTCTTCGACCAGACTTAAGAACACACCCTGTTTCATCCTAAACATATTATAACAATGATTGGGGTTGCCATCTAAAACGTCCCTTACCCATGAGCTGCCTGTATGAGCACTTGTATGTCGGGGTGTGTAAAGAGCAGTGTATGCACCGACCAATGCTACAACTTCGTTAACCCCTTTTTTTTGTCCCTTAGCATACTCTTCCAAAAGTTTAATTTCATCATCCATTTTTGTTTTATCATATGCACATACACATAAAGTTTAAAATCCTTACGCAGAAATTACGAAACATTTAAGAAAGTAACAGAGTTGTCTGATTCATAGAACAATCCATAAGTCACATAAAATGATACACATAAGGAATTGTTTAATATAATAAAAAAGTTGTAAATCCTTAGTGTAATGCTCCAAAATGGGCAGAAGTTGTTCCTTCTGAATCCTTCAGAGCTGCATACACTTCCCGTGCCTCCGGCCGTTTCATAAAGAGTTGTGTGCACCGTCTAAAGAAATCAGCATCATTGACAACTTCCTTAACTGTTTTGAGGTGAGACAGGACTCTCATAATTTAAGTCTCATACGCACATGCTTCTTCCAACTTTCTAGCTTGTGCATGTGAAACGACCTCATTTCCACGCTAAGCCTCATAAGTATTTGCTTCAGCTATCCTACTAAGTGCATCTGCTATTTTTATAGAGGGAAATGCTTTTTTCTTCATGACTTCACTCTTCCTTCTGACCCCCAATGAGCTACTAGGTCGAGCCCTACCTTACTTGTACACCCACCACTGTTATCCTACCTAATGCCAGTGTTGCCCCCACCACCTTCACTATTCTCATTAAAGGTCACTGAGTTAAATTTCCTACTTATACTAGTTGACACATCTAAAATTTCATCTCTATCTCCAGACCCTTCTTCTATATCATCATCAGGTGCTCCTTTACTTGGAAGTGTCATAGAAGAAGGTACTCATACTTGTGGTCCAATTGCAGCCACATTCCCAAATAGTTGAGTTAATTCATCCCGAAATTGAAGTCCTCTTTCTTTGAATTTTTTGTAGTTTGAAACTTCCTGTACATTAGATACCAATAATATTATAAAATATTAAAAAAACAATAAATATACCAAAAACATTAACAGGAAGAGAAAATGTAAGATCAAAAGGTTAAATAATTACCATTAGTTTCTTCTCCCACCAATCATCAGCTGCAATTAACAATATTCTTTTCAATCTCATCCCAAACCTGTCTCGCAAAGCAACCTATCCCATGTTTGCCACTCTTTTTACAGGGAATCATATTTGTTCTTAAATTGAGGTTTTGTGTAGATTCTCCCAGTTTTGGTAGTGAACTTATCAGCAAAAATTTCCTAAGCTTTCTTTGTTAAGCTTGTACCTTTTCTTCCCCCTTATTGCACTAGTTCAATGCACAAGTCAATAAACACCTTTATCGTTCTTAAATCTCATGAAGCTTTCACCTTATCCTTACTCATTATGCTATAAAACAATTACAGCTCTTCAGTCATCACAAGTTCAATCAACCCAAAATCAATTAAAATAACAAGTGTCATTTTATCCAAATAAGCTATCAATACCATATTAACATTTTTCTTTCCTTCATTATTATTTTAAAAAAAAAGAAACTCTATCTTTTTATTTATAATATGTAATTAATTTTTTTAAACCCAACATAAAATAAAACTATGTTCCTATTCCTTTCATGACCAAAAAAAAAAGAAATTAATTTTAAAAACCAGAAATCCAACATCTGATAATTTCATTCAAAACAGGATTACAAATAATTACAAGGATTATAAATATGTCTATCTGGAAAAACTAATGTAAACTACATGGAGATAAAAACAGGTCCTCTAACTCCGAAAGCAACTCAATTCCCTGAAACTGAATAGAGTAGCACGATGTGTCAATTTCAACAGAGCAAGCAAACCAAAATTAAATGAATCCATAAATCTGAGAAGGAAATAAGCCAAGCTACACAAATGAACCCATAAATGAAAATCAACCCACTAGTGAAGCAAAATATCAACCACAACTATGAACCAAGCAAAAGCAGCTATGCACCAAGAAAACACCCCCTCAAGCCAGCACTGAAATGAAAATTAACTAAGGTTGGACGAAATCTGAGAAGGAAACAGATCTATGAACTAATAAAAGGGAAAAAAAAAGAGCACCAGACGATGCACAACATGTTGGCAAAACAGGCATGAACCAATCGAAACAGAGAGTAACAAGAAATTGAAGGCAGGATTTCGATGCAATGGAAGAAGAAAATGCATAAGGAAAGAATTGATTATTCAAGAGGAGACACCTTACTTGAGCGTTGGATTTGAGCTAGGGAACCACCGACAACGACCTCACCAAACCACCAGTGAAGGATGCTTCATAGCGACAAACCCAAGCCAACGATGGATGGATTAGACAACCCAAGGGGCGATCTTCTTCTATAGAGCAAAGAATTCTCTCACCGGCGCCTTCAAACCGCGACTCGATGGCCACTTCACTGATGGCAAGGTGTTTGTCTTAGGAGGACCGAAGGAGGAATGGATTTTGAGGAGCAAAGGACCAAGAAATGAATAATTGAGGGGTATATCCGTCTGGGAAAAAAAAAAAAAGAAGCACATATCTGTTGGAATTCCACAAAACCCACTTTGACACTCTCCAATTTTCTCCCCAAAAACAGATCACTTTCGCTTCTCCCCAAACCACGGTTTTTGGGCTAAAACCATGGTTTCTATTTTTTTTCCTAGTGTTTGGCAATGTTTTTGCCCAAACTATGGTTTGGGCATTAGAGAAATTTTTTATATCAATAAATAATTTTATTCTTTATTTATTATTATGTTAATTTTATTTATATGATGTATAATGTATATCAGATAGGAATAAAATTGAAAAGTTGTTGAATTTTAAATGAGAGTTAATAAAGTTTAAAAATTTTCTTGGTCTATGCGAAACATATTAGAAGTGACTTATAAATAGATTTAGAGAAGTAGTTTTCAAGTTCTTAATTATCGTTTTAGGAAGAATTACAATGAGATTCCAAGAAAAAATATATTTTAAAACAAGTATCAGACGTTATCATTCTTCATTCTAGAACTTATCATTACAAGCTACTCACGTTGTTATTAGGATCTTTTAGTAATTTTTTTTTCTGAGACTTGATTGTAATTCTCCCATAATTTTAATACTTTCTGTTGTTTAGCAAAACATGTTTTTTTTTTTGCTGGCCGGGAAGTTCAGCAAAACATGTTTTGAGCTTTGAAATTTGAAAATCTTAATACGCTTTCAACAACTTCACTGGAATAAATAAGAAGCGAATAAGCCATTAAATTTGTTTGAAAATGATTTTTTTTCCAAATTTTATCTTTATTTAAAATTATAAGTTACATTTTGATTAGCGAAAAAAGTAACATTGTATCACACTTTAAATAGGGATAATTACAATCATTTTATGAAGTTTATTTATTCCATTTGCTAAACATGAAATTTCGATAAATTGTAATTTTTATTTCTATTGCAAGTTGAGCACAAGTTATTAGGAGTTGATTTTGTGATTGAAAAATCCTGATAAAAGTTTAACCATGAGAATTTCTATTACCTAACCTCGTTAATAATAATTATTAAATTAATATAATGTTTAGATATTAATAAATACTTATAAGATTTATATTAAATAATATTTCTCCTATATGTCCTTGTTGCTTTCTAGTAACTATATATTTATAAGTGATTTTAATAAATAAAATTCAAACATAATTAACATTATGAAAGTCACTTATAAGAAAAAATATACAAATATAAATTACGATTAACCAATATTATCTTTAACTAGTGTCACTTAAAAAAAATTACAATAATCTAAAATCACCATTGTTGACCACCAGTACAAACAGGCACTCATAAGTTTAGATCAGCTAATGTTATCAATTATCTTAACAATATTATATATATATATATATATATATATAATTTAACATATCTGGCTGTCTTCTATTTTAAAATTCAATTTATAACCAAGTAATTCCTTCCCTGGGAAAGGAAAGCCAAAGGACGACTAAAACGACGCGTAGTTCGTCCCGTCACTGGATCGTCCTGTTTCGCTATACGGCAATATCCCGAGAGCGTTAAAGGCAAGCTGTGCTGCATTCCCGTCTCCACTCCCGGTGGGTGTAAAATTCTCCTTGGGGTCTGTGATTGTCATCGGAAAAATCCCAATAGAGCGACGGCAATGGCGGACGTCTCACCGCAACCGAGCCGATCGAGGGATCTTGACAAGCTCCTTCTTAGGCCTGGTAATCTCGTTGGTCCCAGGTTCGAACCTGGCCCTGAGGTACTCGCTCTTTTGCTCTCTCTCTCTCTCTCTCTCTCCCGCTCTCTATACTTAGCTTTTACAACGAGCATACGCTAATTTTAAGATTGTTTGCTGCCTTTTTTTTTCTTGCACTAATTCACGTTGGCATATTGCAGATGAGAGATGACCTTCAGACTTACGCCAGAGTGTTAGTAGTAGGGGCAGGCGGGTTGGGATGTGAGCTGTTGAAAGATTTAGCACTAACTGGTTTTCGAAACTTGGAGGTCATAGATATGGATCGTATAGAGGTTACTAATCTCAATCGTCAATTCTTGTTTAGGTAAATCTCTCTACTTAAAGTTCATATCTTTTGAATAGATGTTTTAATTCTGTTGCTCTTCTGAATACTTTGTCGTTGGGAAGGGAGGGCTCTTTAATCCTAGTTATACCACATGAGCTTGGTTGTTACTCTTGATGTGTGCCAAGATCCTAATATAGTTTGCTGCCAGCTTTTACTGGTTTTCGACAAGCTTTAGAGGGAAGGTAGTTTCTTTTACTCCAACTTACTATGAAGTTGATTGGAACTTTATTATTTTAGGCTTGAAGATGTTGGCAAACCAAAAGCTGAGGTAGCGGCCAAGCGTGTCATGGAAAGAATCAGTGGTGTAAATATTGTACCTCATTTTTGCCGGATTGAAGACAAGGACATATCTTTTTATAATGATTTCAACATTATTGCCCTCGGTCTTGATTCAATTGAGGCTCGCAGCTACATCAATTCTGTGGCTTGCAGTTTTCTAGGTGTGTATTCCTTCTGCTTTGTAAGCTTTGCGGCTTGTAGTTGGGGTGTTGGATTTTCCCAATAGAAATATCAATGAGTAGGACAAATAACATGCATGAATTTTGAATAGAGATATGTAATAGTGATACATGCATCTGATCTAGAAGGAAATAAAGCCCACATTAGGTGTGTATCTGAGAGCAAGGGATACATGTCCTCCAACCTTGCTCTTCAAATCTATGCATAAAAGTTAGACTTCTGGTTTTTGAACAAAATTTTAAAGTAGTGATGATCCTAATAAGCATTGCGGTGCTGCAAAACTATGTAGATATCAATAACTTAGTCCTGCAGGTCTGTTATTTATTACGTGCCTCTAATTTTCCTCAAATAACATGATGATAGAACTGTAATTTTTCGTGTGATGTGAGGTAGATTCCTTAAAAAGGAAAACACTTTTGCAGGCATAAATGCCATGCTTGTTCACTGTTTTTGTACATTAATTCTATAATGAGATCAGTACTAGGATCTCCATTTTTTATGGTTACAATAGACCTAGTCATTTCGTTAGTTTTGGTTCCACAGCCTGTATATTGATGTTGCTTCATATACACGGTTCCAATATATGTATTTTTTCCTTTTGTTTCATTTTTAATTTTTTTCCTTAAATAAGAGGATTGTCGTCTTCAGGCATTTCAGCCAATGGTTATCAATTTATATTCGGCCATTTCTGGTAAAATTTGTTGTTGTCTGTTAGTGTTAACCTTTTGATTCTTTTGTTTTCCTTGATTAATCTAGAGTATGATTCTGACGATAATCCACGAGAAGAGACAATCAAACCTATGGTAGATGGTGGAACTGAAGGTTTCAAGGGCCATGCTAGGGTTATCTTGCCAGGGATCACACCATGCTTTGAGTGTACAATCTGGCTTTTCCCGCCTCAAGTGAAGTTTCCTTTATGCACCCTTGCTGAAACCCCTAGAACAGCTGCTCATTGTATTGAATATGCACATTTGATTAAATGGAATGAGGTATTTCATTGCTTAATTTCTTGATGCTTCCTTTGTCATTTCGTGAAGTTCATAATTTTAATACACGTCCTTATGTTTTTCAGGTTCATGGTGCAACAGCATTTGATCCAGATAACCCTGAGCATATGAAATGGGTCTACGATGAGGTGAAGTTACTTTGATTATTTGTTTTCTGATTGGCATGCATCTTTGGCTTGTCTGTGACAAGTTTCACCATTGATATTTGTAGGCTTTAAAGAGAGCTGAGCTTTTTGGCATTCCAGGAGTTACTTATTCTCTTACCCAGGTAGATTTTTCTCAATCCATACGGTTTTGCCTTTTGCCTTTGCTGAGGGCTTGTTTTGGGAGTTTTGAAGAAAGCTGGGATGGGGTTAGTCCCGATTCACAGTCATTTGGAAGTTACAATGCTGTTAACAGAGTGGTTTTTTTTTTTTTTAATAAATAGGGGGGTGTTGTCGGAGGAGAGGTTTTCAATATTCACTTATTCATATTTTCTTTTAATATGAAGAAGAACAGGAAAGTGAAAAGCTAACAGGGCAAATGTTAAATGAAAAGGAACACAAACCATCTGAAACCCCTCAATTTGTAGAATTTTGGAAACGAGGGTGTGGGTCAGGTTATGATGGGCTGCCAACATATCCTATTCCACCACATTTTATTACCCAATCCTTCCGAACAAATTCTTAGAATTACCATGAATTATTAGATACTTGTGCTTCTCCTTTTTTTCCTGCCCTTGTCATACTTGGACTACATATTTTTTTGTCACTAAGCTGTTAATTATTTGCTAGGGTGTTGTGAAGAACATCATTCCAGCTATAGCTTCCACCAATGCAATTATATCTGCTGCATGTGCACTGGAAACACTGAAGATTGCAACAGAGTGCAGCAAAACTTTGTCCAATTATTTAACGTATGTGCTTTCTTTTCTATAATAATTGCTATTTCCAATCTTTAATCTTGTTTTTATCATCTTTTCTGCATTTACTCACTTTAGATGGGATGCATACTTGAGATATAGAATATTAGACATGGACACAGAAAAACATTTTTTCTTTAATAAAGGTCTAATGCAAAAGAAACGCCTGAAATTGCTCAAAATTATGCACCGTTCAGTATATTCATGTTGCTCGAGTTTTTTTTTTTTTTGGGGTAATAATAGTATAATTTTCAATACACGATCTATAATGGTTTTTGAGGGTCAAGTTGTTTGAAAAGCTTTAGTTGTCAGGGGAAGGCCCATTAATGATTTTATTGATGCATGTCTAAAATGCCTCCTGGTGCAAAAACTGTTGGGATTGGACAATGGGCAAAGCGGTCTTCTTATTCCCCTTTTTTTTCTTCCCGGGAAAGCAGAAGGTCCATCAATGAATTTAGTATCACATCTCTGAAAATGGCCCTAAATATTAATTTTACTTAGCCAAGGGCTTGAGGCGAGATCTTTGCCTAGTAGTATACAAATGGCCAGTGTTGTATGATGTATTTTTTCATTTTCTCTATTTTTACAATAATTTCTTTCTGCCAATCCCATGTAGCATGGCTAATTTCAGTACTTCACTTTAGGTCCTCTAGTATCTATTTTGCCCTACAAATATTTAAGTATTTCCTTTTCAACTTATCCATTAGAATTGTTTCCGGATTGCTAGGGCTTCATCCTCTAAAGTTTGAAATTACAACGCTTAAAAGGACGAGCATGAATTTCTAATACTTTTGTACATACAAATCTGTGTGCTCACACAATTCGCTTGTTATTTTGTGTCTTAGACGCACAGGATAAAGTATGACCATTGCTTACCAATTAATCCAATCTTATGTAGGTACAATGGAACACAAGGCGTCCATACTAAAGTCACGGAATTCGAGAGGGATAAAGAGTGCCTTGTGTGTGGTCCTGGTGTACTTATTGAAGTGGAGCCTTCAGTCACATTGCAGAAGGTTATTTCTCAGCTCTTGACTTCCGAACCTCTTCGATGTATAATTATAAATTTAATAGTTTTATGTTTTCTTAATGCTTCTCTATTCTTGATGTCTTTTAAGGGACTAAACCAAATATGTATGTATATGTGTTATGAAACTGGAACTATTAACATGTACGTTTCACTGCAGCTCATGCCTGGGGGCGCATATACTTTTTTTTCTCTCTTTCTGAGTCCTTATTTTGCCATTATCTTTTTCATCTAATACTGTACGTTTTAAAATGATGTATTTAAATTTAAATATTTTAGCGTGTGGAATTTGCAGAGCAGCTTCTTGTACGTTCATTTGACTTTGTGCCCTTGAAAGATTATTTTGGAAGCACATGAATAATCTTGAAGAGTCAAACCTTCATAGTTACTTGAGTGTTTTTATTACTTCCATTATCGTTTCACTTTTTTAATTATTGTCTGTATAAAGACCTGTCAAGTGAGGATTCCATATTAGAAAGCAAGAAACATTACAATTTTTTTATTTGGAAACGGCCATGGTCTGGATCTTCAGTGCGAGTCTTGTGCCCGCCTTTACCTTGGCTGATTTGACTTAGCTTCACGCAATTTACATCATGAGGAAAATATCCCGTCATCGATGAAATGGTCTGCATCTTGACTCTGGAATTGGAACAGGGCTCATGTGCTAATGATTACTTGTATTTTATTAAGTGAAGTTTTTCTCTTGTGCTGATATGAGTTATCTTTAGCCTACGCCTTTCTAATGTTTTTTAAATCTTATTGTGGAATCAGTTCATTGATCTTCTGGAAGAACATCCTAAGTTGAGGTTATCACGAGCCAGTGTCTCGCATCGGGGAAAAAATCTGTACATGCAAGCGCCACCTGTATTGGAAGAAATGACTCGATCAAATCTGAGCCTAACTCTTTTCAATCTGATGGGTAAACCATCCAGGGATATTGTTCATGTGAATGGTACAGCCACCACGAACGACCAAAAAGTCTCCTGCCTGAGAAAATTATCAGTTGTTTTCAAGGGAATTGATGGTGTTACAGATATGGACACAGCAGGAGGAGCATAATTTTGCATCAAGGGTTTACAAAACATGAAAGGTTTATGAGATTTGAGAGATCATGGCAGATTGCTAGTATTGTTGAGGCAGAGATAATTATGAAAAAGGATCTGAGCGTAATGATATTTCTCTGTAAGAATCAAATAACTCCTCAATGTGGTTATTCAATTCAAAACCATATTGATCTAAATAGCCATGTGGTTTGATTATTCGACCCTCGTGGATAAAATTAACGTAGATTGGCCCAACCTCATGAACATTTCTCAGTTTCTTTCTGCAGATTTGTTGCCCCCGGATCATAGCCTACTGGTTAATTTCATTTTCTCACATATGCTTAATTATATTGATGTAGCTCTGGTACATCGTGGATTTAACTTTTAGCTTAAATTTTCTGGGAAGTGGGTTGCCTCTTATTTTTGTGATTTTAGTTAGTTGATGGGGCTGTTTTGATCCTACCTGCAAATATAATTATGATATATTGGTTTTTTTGTCCAGAAAGTTGGCAAAAAAAAAAACTTGAAAAAAATTATTTATGACTAATAAATAGCGCGGGTTGTCATAAAATTTAAATGGTACTCTCTTGAACATAAATTATTAATAATATTGATAACGAGGTAAATTAAATCATCCGTCGGTCCACATAGGCACAGAATCACGTTGTGCGCGGTGCCTGTGGCATTGCGTGGATTCGAGTCTCTCAACTGCGTCACTCCCGCCTAGTACTCCACGCAACACACAAAAGTGAAGGTGAAGACAAGAGAAAATCTCCGGCGTTTTTTTTTTTGAGCAAAAAAAATCTCCGGCGTTTTTCAAGATTGTATAATAATCAATAGGAAGTTCCTGAAGCTTAAATTGGAACCTGAGGAAGAAGCAGAACAATTACTCGTAATATTATACTCTTTCAGTCTTTAATATATGGCCTAATTGTTAAGTTGGTTTCGGTCCTAAATATAAAATCTATTTATCATATTTATTAGTTTTTCCTAAATCATCTCTATTGATACTCCCTCAAGTATAATCAAGTAAAAGGTGGAGGAAGGATATTAAAGAAGATGATTATGGTATTTTGAAAAAAACATGTCATATTTCTTATAATTAACTAACTTACTTAACTTCTTTAATATAATTAAATTAGTTAAATAAGTCTCATATTGAGGGTATGAAGAGTACTATTCATACTTTCTTAGGTTTTCTCAGCTGAATCAATCGCCCATCCTCCTCATCAATCTGTGTTGCTGCTCCTCCGCCAGACTCTGAGAAGCCAATGAGGGATCCAACCGATGCAAGATATTCTTACATCAATTTCCTGCTCATTTTCCTTCAAACCCTGAAATTTCTCCTCCTTCTGTGATTTCCATTGTTTTTTAATGCTTTATATTCGCCTCTCGTCCAATCACTTCGCTCTGCTGACACGAAACTTGACATTAGTCTCCCAGACAATTTTCGTTTTGTTTTATGTTTTTCTCAATATATATATACATACATACATATATATATATATATATATATATATTTCTAGTATATTGCCGCCATTGGGAATGGTAGATTTTGTAACTTCCCTGCCAACTAGATGAAACCAACTCAGATAAATTCAGTCTTACATGGCAGTAATGGTAAGAGGAATCAATAGTCATGGGTCCCACAAAAATTTATACTCCTCTGGTTCTATTTATAGGACAGAGAAAGAAGATTTTTTTAAATTCTATTTATAAGGCACTGAGAGAAATTTTTGTATCGATGTATAATTTTATCTCTCATTTATTACTATGTCGACTTTATTTATATGAGGTATAATGTATATTAAATAAGGATAAAGTTAAAAAGTTATTAAATTTCAGGAAAAATCCCATATAAATACCTATTAAATTCTAAAATTTTGAATAAGTCATTCTAATTTCATAAAAAGACAAATAACTCTGTAGGTATTCATTTGGGATTTGCAATTTTTGACAATTTACCTATATACCCTTTCTTTCACTCTTTTTTTGTTAGATCAAAGAGAGTTCTTCTTTCTCACTTCAGGCTCTTTTCTCTCTCCCTCACGATGTTCCCAACGTCCTTCTCTCCTGAAACAATTACAGATCCTCACTTTCAAATCATCTTTATCTGAACTTCCAACTTCGTTTTACTTGTTTAGGGTTCATCCGAACTTCCAACTTCTAAAATTATTTTAAATTACCTCTACTTTTCTCACGTTACCATTCTTCAATCATGTAATGGGCTACTTCTCTATTTCTTTGGCTTCCTCATACGACTTGAAGAACACATATATATACTTTGGGCTTTCTCATTTCTCATTTGAATATATGTGATGTAATTGCTGTTACAGGGTTACTGGTTTTTGGTAAATACCATAATTCTAATGGTCAATACTATTACAAATGTAGTAAATCATGAAAATTATTATTAATATGTTTATTATGACATACTTTAGGGGTATTTATCTGTTATCTACTAATTTCTCAAAACATTTACCTCCTTATTTAATTCTCCCAAAAGGTTATATTTGGTGGAAATTGATCAAGTCAATAGTATGAAAATAGGCAAATACATTTTTCAAGTTGTTAATTACATTACATGTCTAGTCAACTTGTCTGACTTAGCCTCCCCAAAAATTTGCACCAAGTCTGAAAATGACTAATAAATGTTGCAAAATGTGTTATGAAAATAGTCATATGCATTTTGTAAATTGTTAATCATGTTACACTTTTAGTAAAATTGTCTGAAAATGACTAGTAATAAGTTACAAAATGCATTATGGGGATAGTCAACTTCATTTCACAAGTTGTCAATTACATTATATGTTTAGTATTATCTAGAAATTGTTAATAACAGGTTGCAAAGTGAGACAACCGTCCATTCAAAACTCATTTAGATTAAAAAAAATAAACTTATATCATGAGCACTTCTATCATTAACTTGGGCCTTGGACTTCTAAAATCCAGAAATATCATTCAACCATTAGCCCAATCCAAACTCATATTTTCAAACATACGAACTGACAAATCATTTTAGTATAAAGGATGGAGCCCATTAGTCAAAAGTCAACACTTTATAGCATAACACGTAAAGTCTTAAAGATTTCTAGCTTTCTAACAGCCTCCCATATCAGATAGTAGTAATTAAAAATATTAGTTTACAACACTAGAGTAGATGAGCCCTATGTGGCAATATATAATAAACCAGTATATAGAACAAAAGCAAGGAGGCTATACAAGCTATAACAGCACTTTATGCCTCCGGAGCCTTCCCTAATGGGCCACCACCTGAACTATCACTTGAAGATAGTAAAAACCATGGGGGTGAGACAAACGCCTCAGTAACCAGCTTTCCAACTCATCATACATACTAACATGTGATCGTAAGGTGTCAAGTGGGATGGTTATTAAATCTCAGGAAATATAGATATATCGATGGAAATATGTATATTCAAATAATCCCAATCATCTAAACCCTTGTTATAGGAGCTAACACACAAATCACATAAGTCTATCCCTCACTACAGGGGATCAATCAGATATATAGGCCTATCCCACTTATTGGGGGACAAGTAAGAAGTCACCAACGTCTATCCCTTATTCTAGAGATGAAGGAAGCCAACCAATGTGCACCAATAACGACCTTACCATATGGTAGGATAGGGCTCAATCCAAAATCTAAATAACAACTAATCATTCACAATATAACGAAAAACGTCTCAGTCTTTTCTCAGTATAATCCATAAGATATAAATCATATATTTTTTCATACTTCTCAATTATAATTTCAAAAATCTCACAAGACAATTTTCATAGCTCAAAAGGTATAACATATCTACTTGAGTTCTAAAAAACACATTATTATTCTAAAATAGCAAAATACTCACAAACAACACATTAGCATATATAACAAGTGAAAAGTGGTTACCTCTCGCCAATGCAATAGTAAGGAACTACAAGGTCAATCCTTTACTCAAATAATAATTAATCTATACTATTAATATAACCACATATTAATATCAGCTAATTAATTAATTAATTAAGCTTCTATATATTATTTAAATTTTTAACTTAATTTAATTTTTATTCTAAATTTTCACTGCTCTCATAACCCAAAATTAAGTATTTCAGAACCAACTTATAATTTTCTAACAAGCCAAAACATTTATTTACATCCTCCAAATTATTTACTCTAATAAAAAGAATTTTTCAAAATTTCAAAATATGGATTTATTATATTCTGGACTCTAAAAATCTCATTTAAAATTGAAACTTCAAACCAAATGATCAAAAATTCAATAATGCTTCAAATATTTATAAATAAATAATTTAATCAAAATTTTAATGGTTATAACTATTATATATATTTATTTCTATAAATAATAAAATTTTTAGCTAAAATAATTATTTTAAAACCTCCAGTTACTCAATAAACAAAACTAAACTGATTAAAATATCAATAATATGTCAAAGAACCTAAATAAATTATTTAACTTAATTTTAATTGGTAAAAATATAATATATATCTTATATATATTTTTCCAACTAAACAAAATTAATTTAAATGCTAAAAACCAATAAATGAGTAAATCTAAACTGATTAAAATTAACTACTTATTTATCTCTAAATTCCTATAATAATATATTATCAAAACTCAATACTTATATTATATATAAGTCTCAAATTTTTTTCTAATTACTATAGTAATACTACTATTAAGAAGCGTAAAATATATAAAAAATATTTATAAAAAAAGTTTGAAAGAAAAAAATAATTTTATATGCCTAAATTATTTTTAAAACTTATCCCCTCCTTCAGTGGTCTGCTTCTCTCACTCACACTAATTCTCTCTTTCCGTCTTTCTATCCTGCGCACGGCAAAAACTGAAATGTGGGGGGATATTTAACACCCCCACATATTTATTAGGGGAGTTCCCCCTAATAAATTTTATCCCAACCCCCAACTCCTACTTTCCATTGAATTTTGGTGGAAAGTTGACTTCTTTCCCCCTTTTTTTTTTAAAAATATTATTATTTTATTTTTTAATTCTAATTTTATTTTTTTTGAATTTTTTTAAACTAAATCTTAAAATAAAATTTAGAATATTACACAAAGCATATTATGGAATAGTCAAATTCATTTTCCAAGTTATCAATCACATTCCATATTTAGTAAAATTGTCTGGAAATGTCTAATAACAGGCTGCAAAATATGTTATAAAAATGGACAAATTCATTTCGCAAGTTATTGATCATGCTACATATTAAGTAAAATTGTTTAGAAATGGCTAATAATAGGTTGTGAAATATATTATGAAAATTGATACTTTCATTTCGCAAGTGATCAGTCACGTTACATGATTAGTAATTTTATTCAACTGAATCACCTGAGTTTCGCCTAATTTGTAAATGGCTAATAACAAATTGTAAAACAAGTTATGAAAGTGGTTAAATTTAATTTGAAAGTCGTCAATCACTTTACAAAACCTGTTGATGCTTTTCATTTAATTTTAGTGACAATTTAGTCTTTTCACCAAACTTTGCAAATCCCATATTTCTACCTCATGCTTATGTGGTCCTTTCACTTATCTACATGACCTATCTGTCTTTTTAAATTTTAAAAGATATTTTTTGGTCATTTTTTTTAAATTTTAAATGAAAGTTAATAAAGTTTAAGATTTTTATCGGTCTATGTAAAACATACTGGGCTCTTATTTTCACTTCCAACAATGCCCCTTTTTCTCTGTTCCATCTACCCATCAAATCCATCAGCCATTCAAATTTGAAAACGACCCCAAAAAACCTTCATTACTTTAGTAACCCCATTCCACCATCGTGCCCTCCCCAACAATATGTTAAAAATATTTACTTATAACATTTATACTAAGTTGATATTGTAAAATAACAAATACATTGTTATATATATTAATTTTTTGAGTGGAAAAAACTATTTTATTACTTATTAAACTTTGATTGTTATTGCAATTTTGCAAATTCTTTTAAATTTTAAGTCACATTTAAATAAATTTTCTAACTTGTCAATTTTTAATTGAATTGTCACACACTCATACTTTTACATCTAATCTTTAATATAAAAATTAGATAACTAATTTATAAATATTTAAAAATTTAGTTGCGTTAATAATTTATAACAAATATGTGTTATTTTTTAAAAATATTTTTTACAATTGTATCACCTCTTTATAAAAGTTTTCTTACTATGTATGATTAATAAGGATACTTTAAAAAATAAATTTTGTAATTTTTTACAAAATAAATTTTCTATTTCTAACTTGGACCCGGTAGATATATGCATATTGTATAAAAAATCACGTATAACAAGATCTGATCGAGTAAACCTAATCAATATAAGTAAATTGATGTAAGTTTTGTTTTGAAAAAAAAAATACTACTTTGCCTTTAAATATAGAAGATATATAAGATATTCATTTAGTCTTAAGTATAAGACTTAGTTTATTTTACCTCTCAAATTTTGTAATTTTTTTAAGATATCTTATTAAAAATCGACAAGTTGGAAAATTTATCTAAATGTGACTTAAAATTTAAAAGAATTTGCAAAATTGCAAAACAATCAAAGCTTAGCAAGTACTCGTTCCCTTCTGTTTTATAAGAGGCGGTTACTCAAATGACGTTATTTAAAATGTTAGTTAAAATTAGTTAGGGACAATAAATACATAAAAAATATAACTTTTTTGTCAAAAATACTCTCATTTATATGAATGAAAGATAATGTGTGAAAATTAAATATAATGATATAAGTAATATGAGTAATTAAATAAGGATAAAATGAAAAATCAACACATTAAATTTGAGACAACTTCTGAGTGTCTTAATTAAGAAGAAACATTACATACTTCACAATTATAAGGAACAGAGTAATAAAATAGTTTTTCCACTCACAATGTCTTTGTCATAAATTTTATAGATAAATATTTTTAATATATTATGGGGAAGGACCTGTTAGTGGAGTGGGGTTAAACTGGTCAATGTTTTCTAGGGTGGTTTTCACATTTCAACTGCTGATGAATTTAGGATATGTTTGAAACATTTTATAAGTAGCTTACAAGTAGTTTTTTAATAGTGATTTACGGAATATGAGACAAGTATGTGAAAGAAGTTTTATCTTAACTTACATGAAATGTACTTATAAGAAATTTCTACTTCTCTGCCAAACAGGACCTTAGTGGCTTGATTGTCTCATGGCCCGGGGGAAGGGACATTGTTGGAAGTGAAAATGGGAGGAATGGAGGAACAGTAAGAGAGTATTTGTATACCTCTAAAAGTGTTATGTAAAAATATTTTTTCTCAAATTGACATAATTTTTTTTACATATTTACTTTATATACTGTAAAATTATTTTTAAAATTATAGTTTTATTTCATCCAAACAGGCAGAAAAACTGTTAAATATAAACTTTTGTGGGACCCATGACTTTTTGTTTCTCTGACCAGTGATGCCATGTCACTGAATTTATTTGAGTTGGTTTTATTTAATTGGAGAGATCACAAATGACGTGGCACTAGAAGAATTTACCGTTGTCTGCAACTAAGCATCATTTGCTAATTTTACATTTTTTGAATTTTAAATGTACGAATACAGTCAAGCCCCCGACGGTGAGTGAGCCAGGTCTTCGGTCGTTGTGAATGATAAATGTTCAATCTTGGAAGGATCGCCCAGCTGCGAGTGGCGTAAGATTACTATAAATTTCCCGCCCATTTCGAAGTTTTCGAAGCATAAGAGAAATGGCGGTCGTCTACTTCGCCCTCTTCTCTCTCCTCCTTCTGCCTCCTCTTGCTGTTCTCATTCTCCTGTACTTCATCGTACGGCCTCGTCCGGCGAAGATCACCATCAAGAATCGCCACGTTTTCATCACCGGCGGATCGAGTGGGATCGGTCTCGCCTTGGCCCATCAGGCTGTGGCTGAGGGTGCTCGCGTCTCGATCCTTGCTCGCTCTGTGGATAAGCTTGAGCAGGCCAGGAATTCGATTCGCCTCTCCACCGCCATCGATGTGGCTGTCTACTCCGCCGATGTGCGCGACTACGATGCCTTGAAGCGGGCAGTGGATGAAGCGGGGCCTATTGATGAGCTGATTGTGAATCACGGGGTGTTTTGGGCCGCGGAGATCGAGAAGGAGGAACTGGTTGGGGTGAAGTTCATTATGGACGTGAATTTAATGGGGAGCTTCAATGTGATCAAGGCTGCGTTGCCGGCTTGCCCAGCGGCAAAAGAATGCTGGCAAAAAGTTATCCACAGAGACCACATTGATGACTTTCTCAGCAAGCCCTATAAGGATTGGATCGAAGAGAATCTCAATCCCCAAAGATCCTCAATGCAACGACGCCTATTTTTTGGGACCCTCGTTTGGAAATTGTGGGACAATAGAAATAAATGTATTTTTACCAACGAGTCCTTAGCTACGGATAGCATTTTACTTTCTGTTTGCTCCATTGTTAATCACACCGTCAAAGCCAACAGCCTTTTGAACCTTATAGGGGCTGAGGCTTAGAGGGTAGTGCCTTGTATCTTTATACTTTCTATTATACATTTTCCCTTCCATTCAAAAAAAAAAAAAAAAGGCTGCGTTGCCGGCAATGAAGAACAGGATGGACAGGGGCCCTGCTTCAATTGCTATTGTGTCGTCACTGGCTGGGCAGGTATTTGTCCAATACTTTGAAGGCATTGTTTGGTTCAATGTAGGAGAAGGGAGGGGAGGTGAATTAAAAGGAGGGAAGAGTATGAGTTTTGTTTGGTTGGAAAAAAACATATATCTTGAGACATCACAAATGGATTATAAATAATCATATATCAAAATAAATGTCAATAAAAAATATATTATAATCTTTAGCATATTATATAAATTACAAATAAATTTATGCTACAAGTTTTAAACTATTCTATTCTTAATTATATAACGTGCGTAACTTTACATGTTCAATTAGATAACATATAGAGTTTTGTATAAAAAAAATGCAATTGAATTAAAATAGGTATATATGGACACGCATATCAATAAATTTGGAAGATTAATGGCAGTGGGAAGATCTCAACGACTTCAACTCATATAAACCAATAAAGAATAGCTTTATACATAATGAACGAATAAATAATACTGATAATATTGATAAGATGAATGAGATGGATGATCAGATAAGAGGAAAAGATGTGGAAGATTAATAACAGAGAGTGTGGGAAATAATGAAATGAGAGAAAGAAAATATGCGGGAAAAAAAAGAGTCTCCAAGGAGTAAAAAAATCTGTAGAAGAATAGTAGAGGCTGAAAAGAAAAAAGAGTAAAAAAAAAAAGCAAAGAGTAAAAAAAAGTTTTTAATGAAAAGGATAAACTTAGAATATTAAAAAAACTAAAATTTGTAATTTAGTTAGGATGAAACATAATATTTCTCCCTCCTATAAAAAAACTCCAAATTTGGAGGGGGTAAAAGGAGGGGAGGGGAGCACTAAAAGGAAAATTTTTTTTTCCTCCCCTTCCTTTTATTTTTCTGAACCAAACATAATTTCTCCTCCATTCCCTTCCCCTCCTCTCCCCTCTCTTCCCAAAAACCCTCCAACCAAACAGTGTGGAGAGGATTAGGCAACTTTACTAGGTTCTTTTGAATTAGTGATTATAAAAGTAGCTGATTATCAATTTGATTTTTAAAAGAGTTAGATTGAGTAAAAGTTAAATTTGGTGATATGAATTGTGTTTGGATTGGATTTCATAAAAGTTAGTTTGTAAACGTTAGATTAGGTAAAGAGTTATTTGGGTTATAATTGAATAAAAATAAGTTTAGTTTGTAAAATTACCAAAATGAGTATAAATTTTAATAAATAATAAAACATGATAAAAAAATAAATTTACATAATACAATGAATTTAAATTATTTTAATATGAAGAAATAAAATTTAGTGCCTGAAATATATTTTAAAATATTAGAGATATCATAAAAATTTATTGTGATTATAAAGTGAAATATAATTTTAATGGATAAAATATTTTTAAATTTAAATTCATGATAGAAAGAGAATAAAAATAATAATAAAATATTAGGTGTGGAGGAGAGGAGACGAGAGCCTTTCGAATCTGAATCTGAATCTTGAGAGCATGAGAGAGAGAGAATAAAAATAATATCAGGGAAAGAAAGAGAAAAATTGAGAGTTTCTGACACAGTTATTTGAGTGTACAGGAAAAGCACGATGAGGGCACAGGAAAAGCTATTCATGTTGACTCACAAAAGCTATTCATGTCGGCTTATACAAATCGTGAAATTAAGGGCAATTTTTGGGCATAAGTAAGATAGCCCAACAGCTTAAACAAACAGACTCTTAATTTTTATTTGGGCTTTATAGCAGGCTATAAGTTACTTATGGGCTTTTGAACGCTCAGCCAAATAAGCACATTATCAGTACCATTTACAAGTTGTCTTAAATTTTGTAAAGAATTCTCTATTTTGTCCTCATTAATTACTTATTTTAATACTTAATATATTTATTATCTCATTTCTCAAACCATTATTTTCCCATCACACATTCTCTCTTTTTCATGTTTTTTATTTTAATAATTTTTTTATTCTCTCTTTTTATACTCTATCTTCTCCATAAATAAGGACATTTTAATGAAAAAACTTCTAATTTTTACACGTTTATTGTCTCTAACTGATTTTAAGTAACATTTTGATCTGCTTATAACATATGTGACGGAGGGAGTATTATTTATGGTCTTAAAGTGATCTGTGTACGTGAGAAATGGGATTTGAATATGTTTCCTCGATAAAACTGCGTTGGCAAACATCTACAAATGTTGGGGAAGTCTTTCGTTTTTGACGTTGGGACATCAATTCAAGGCTTTTCCATGTAAACATTAGCATAAGAGGGAAGACTGTCACTCTCTTCTTCGGCAGAAGTTGCTTCAAATGTTGTCTGGCATATCATGCCAATGCCGGACCAGTGCATCTAATGTTCATTTGAAAAATTTATTATTTACTGGTTATTAGACAAACTCGTGAAATAGAATTTGTACATCAAGTGTGTTGAGTTTTGCGACTATGTTTAAAATCATTCTAGGCGGTTTTGGATTTGACCAAAGATGTCTTGATGGGCATCCTGTAAGCAATTACTAGAGTCAAGCCCTCTGAGAAACGTTACTGGCATGGAATATGAGGCAGAACTCAAATTTGTGAGCCTGCAAACCTAAACCATGCATCTCCGTGTAGATGGATTATCAAGAATGCTTTAAGTTTTCATTCAAATAATCATTGATGGATCACGCATGCTAATTATCTCTTTTCTCAGATTCTAAAACTGTTAATAAAAATTTACAAGTTAGTATTGTGAAGCTATATATATGTTGACGTGAATTTATGTTTCTCTGTAGGTGGGTATTTATGGTTATACAGCTTATGCTGCCAGTAAATTTGGGCTTCGTGGACTAGCAGAGGCATTGCAGCAGGAGGTTATAGCGGATAACATTCGTGTTTCTCTTATATTCCCTCCAGACACGGACACTCCTGGTCTATCGGAAGGTATTGAATAGTTTTTGAGCTTATTTATTCAATTACATCATTTTTGGTTTTGGTAACCTGTCAGTGTTCATTTTGTACTGGTAATGAGTTAAGTAGCCTCTTGGATATCATCTGTTATCAATTTGATCTTGTTTGTTCAAGCCGATCATGGATGTGAGGAGCCATAATCTACAGATCAGAATACCTGAATCCATATTTCAAGCTGATTGTCATACTTAGCTAAATATTTCCTTTTGGTGGGCATTGACAGTACATAAGCGAGTTGTAAAATCAGTCCTAAGGGGAATAGTATGTATTAAGGGAATGCTCATAACTCATGGTACAATTATTGCCTACAGGGTTATGGCCCCATGGAATTAGAATGTCAAAATTTGTTCCTTTTGTATGTAATGTGCACCAAATATCTGATTATTTGATCCCTTGTCAGGTTTTTTCCCTTCTTTTTTCTGTAGTCAAGGGAGTTGATAAACTGAAACATGCTCTTCACAGAAAACAAGAAAAAACCACAGATAACCAGTTTAATTGCGTCCTCTGGCGGTTTAATGAAAGCTGATGAAGTTGCTCGGAGAGCTTTAAAGGGCATCAAATCTGGCAGCTTTTTCATCCCCTGCAATTTTGAGGGATACTTGCTGGCCTTAGGAGTTTCTGGATTTTCCCCACAAAGCTCGTTCTTGATGGCTTTTGTTGAGGTTTTTGCTGCCGGAATATTACGCCTTGCTATGCTATTTTTCCAGTGGGACTGGTACAGAAGTATAGAGAAATTCCATGCCCAAAGGAATGCAGGAAACATGCCGCCCTTATAGTCTAATTTATTCTAGGCAAGGTATCTACCTCATATGCTAAACTCATTTGGTTAAGATTAGAGAACTTCAAATTTGGTTGCTTGCTTGTGTAATTATGTTAACACACGATTGTCATGCTGTTAACCTTTTTATTCGGGTATATAGTTAAAAAAAAAGAAGAGAGAATCAATTTTCTTCCTTTGATTTTTATTTTCCAAACGTTGCAAAATTCTAATTCCTGAACATTGTTTAATGGAATTAACCTTGTGCTCTGCTCTCAGTCTTCTTGCACTTGGCAAGGTTTACAATCTTATTTTTATTTGTGATAATAACAACTTCCTCCCCCCCCCCCAAAAAAAACCCAAAAAAAAATGGTTTGTTCTGTGTTTCATAATCTTAACTTGGCAATATCACTTTCATATGATTTGTTCTAAAATGGTTGATGTTTCTTGGTGAGATCATTTGCAGACAGCAATGCTGATCCTGTAACATTATACCCTTGTTTTTGTTTTTTTTTTTTTTGTAGGCAACTAGATATTGTTAGGTGGATTTTTTTCACCTGAGTTTCTGCTATCATGTCTGTGGTCTCCTGAAGCTGCTAAAAGACTAAAAGCTTATTCAAATTACAGTTCTGCTATACTTGTGGTATCGTTGAACTGTTCTTCTATCAGTTCCAGACAATCCCCCAATGAGCTGATGCTCGTCCATATGGCGTGTTTTCAGATACATGAGGATATGGTTTTGTTCCAGTCTGTTCAATGTTGGGACTATGATTTATGATAAACGAGAACTCATTAATTTTGCATTCGGAGTCAAGGTCAAGTTCAGGTTTGTGGTTTCTTTACGTCATCCATGAGAATAACTCATTGTTAAGTATGCTTGGTGGAGGGCAGAAAGAAAGTGGAGGGGAAAGGGAAGGAGATGATGTGATTTTCAGTCTATCTAGTTGGATGTAAGTCGCATACAACAGTCTTTCAGTGAATTCTGATACACCAGACTATTGTAAAAATAATTTAAAAATAGGGTTAATATTATTGTCTCTTGACCTTCTTTTAGTATTCATTTCAGAAATTTGAAATCAGTGGTTTTGCTTCCTAAAACTTGATTTTATTTTGGTTTGCCTTTAGACTTCTAGGGATCAAAACCAAAAATACAGATGGGATTAACTCTGAAAAATATGAATGAGGATTGTATGATGCATAAAGTGGGTAACAATAATTTCAAAGGAGAAAGATAATTTTCCTGGAAGGGAAGCAAAACAGAGAAGCATTAAAAGAACCAGTAACATGCTAAGCAGTGCATCAATTCGTAATTTCGATTTTCCCAAGATAGATGGATGTGTGGATGTTATTTCAAAAACTTGTTTTCTTAGGCTAAATTTTTGTACTGTTGGTTTACTTTTTATTGTACTGTGTGAACTTTCTTTTAATTAATGATCATTTTGTCGTGGTTTTTTTTTTGGAATTAAAAAAAAAAAAGCAAACTAGGGGAACGAAATACCATTTGATCAGCGTTCCAAAGGATTATTCATTGTTTCATATGAATCTTATTTTGCCGTCCCAATCTTTCCTGTTTCTATTTTTGGTGAGTACTGTCCTCACAAAGTTTTAGCGCATCTAAAACAATGATAATTGACAAAAATTATGGGAAACAGTTAATAAAAAAGGCAAAATAAAAAGACAAAAATATTGATGTGCTACAGAAGTAGAGAATAGATGTGAGAAAGGTATAACTGTGTTTGAATCTACGGCGTTGCTTGTTTGCCTCCATTTAGGATAATGTTTTTGCGCTTTACAGAAAAACTCCTGCCATGTATTTATCTCATACAACCTCCGGATCTAATTATAAGACCTCGTTTATAGTTTACAAATAAGATCTTGTAAATAGGACTGAAAATAATATAATGCTCCTCCGGTCCTTAATATAAGACCCATTTAACTAATTTGATTAAATTAAGGAAGTTAGGTAAGTTAGTTAATTATAAGAAATATGACACATTTTTCCTAAAACACCACAATCATCTTTCTTAATACCTTATCTCCCTCTTTTACTTGATTATGGTTGAGAGAGTATTTATAGGGGTAATTTAGAGAAAATTGATAAATATGATAAATGGGTCTTATATTTAGGACCAAAACCAACTCAAGAATTGGGTCCTATATTAAGGACCGGAGGAGTAATACAGAATTACCTTTTCATAATTAATCCAGACAGGCACCTAATCACGTGGAAAAAAATAAATAAATTTTTATATGCATTGCACTTTTGTGCCCTATTCCCACTGAACATATAAATATATTATTTACAAGCAAATATATGCATTTTTTTTCACACTCCTAACACTTTGGGTAAATTACCTACTACCTGATACTAGCGACTAATTTTGATTAAAGTTGAATATGTAACTTTAACTGGAACTGGGGCGAAAGCTCTTCCAAGAACTTCATTTATTTAAAAGACTTGAACTCAAAATTTAGGTGAATAGTTTTTTTTTTAATTCTAAATATAAGAACTAATTGATGGGTTTATTTTGGTTCTACATGTGAAGCTTTAATTCACTTTGTTTCTTAAATTTTATAATATTTTTTTCCCTATTGTTTGCTCATATTAAAATAAGTTTCCATTAATAGGGTAATTTTCAATACAAATAATTTAAGTGGATATTTTTTAAAAAATAACACAAATTTTTATGCAAATAAATTAAGGGTTTTGTTGAATAAGGCTTTTGAGTGAACATATTACATACATAGGCTGAGTGTTAGGACGGAGGCCCAAGCTTTATCAGCTCTGGACTCAATAGCCGGAGCATTGTGGGCCCATTGAAGACGAAGATGAGGAAAAGGCGGAACGGGCCGTTAGGGGCAAAGCAATCTTGTATTCTTGTTCTTTATTGCCAATTTGCCATCATCGACGCCCAAGTAAGCAACCGCCTTCGGCCACATGTTGTCTTCTCTACAGATTCTAGTGACCGCTGAGAAGGAGCAAGGGAAAATGACATTGAGGTCCCATGGAGAAGAAAATACATCAAATAGGTCCCCTGAAATCTCATAATTATTTTGAAGTCCCAAAGGGACTTAGATGTAATTTTTAGAATCCACAAATTACTCTTTTGCCCTGTCCCTGCCATCAGAAAAAAAAAGACAGGAGAAGTTCTTTGGGTGAGGATTTCCTGCGCAAACTTATCATGGTGAAGTTTTTGTAAATGCGAGGATTTCCATGGGTGAAGATGTTGAAGCTTTTGTAAATGCGAGGAATATGACAAATCTTCAAGTGTGAACCTTTCATTTCTCTCCTCTCATATTTTTCTTGACAGATTGTGCATTTGTTTGGGAATGGGAAATCAAAAAATCGTTTTTGCCTTTGGTATTTCAAAGTTTTTGTTTTTGGTTTTCAGAAGTTAATGAATGGAAAAGCTGTGTTTTTAGTTGGTGTGTGTTGTGATTTAAGTTGGGTGTGTAGAATGATCATGGGTGCTTTGTTTTTGGGTTGTTTTGGGTGGTTTCCTTTGTTTTGGCGTTAGTTTAGTGGCAAAGGAAGAAAAAGATGAAGGTTAGTGAGGGTAGAAACCCTTAGCACGAAATGGGATTATGTTGTCAATTAGGCTGCGATCGTTGTCAATGTGTGCCGCGACACTTGTCAATGTAGCTCCTTAAGTTGTCAATGACAGTTGCGTGCTTCTTGATGCAGGTTTAAGTTACTGATGGCGAGTACGTCTGGAAAACATTTATTTTGCGTTGTTCACATAGGGGGAAAGTTTATAAATGATGGAGAAGATGATATAAGATATGTGGGAGGTAGTGTAAGAACAACCAATGTAAAGGAGGGCACAAGTTATGAAGAATTGAAAGAAATTATATCATCAATTGCTGGAAAAGAAAGCAACTCATTTCTTCTGAAATTTTCAGTTGTGTGAAGGGAATTTTTTGTAAATGAATACATACCAATACTTAGTTTTGTAATTATATGCAACCCCTATGTTTTTTTTGGGATGGATTGTAAAATAAGTGTAGTTTTATGTATATGAAGGTACAAATGAAAATTGGCTATGAATTGGCATATTAGATTCTACTATCATTTCAGTTGTCATTACCTACACCCTGTATTGTCATTAGACCTGTTATGACTTGTCAATAGAGCACTGTGACTTGTCAATTAATTTGCTGATATAAGTTGTCAACAATATGAATTCAAGTTACTTAACCTGTTTTAGTATCATATGATATTTCAATACTTTATCATATTATATTTTGGTTATATTGTCATATATAATCATTATTAATGAAGTGTCAATGGTGATACTATGACTTATCAATGGTCGCATTGTGACTTGTCAATGGTAGTACTATGACTTATCAATAGTGGCACACTGACTTGTCAATAGTAGCACTGTGACTTGTTGTTCGCCGAATAACTTCTTAAAAAGGTTGGGTGCTGCGGCGAATATGATCAGGAGCCGTGGCGCCTTACACAGAATGACAACTACTTGGGATAGATGGGGGAGTCGCGACGGATATGGTCAGACGCCGCGGCGAATTATCAGTTGTCAATGGTGGCACACTGACTTGTCAGTGGTGGCACTATGACTTGTCAATGGTGGCACATTGACTTGTCAATGGTGGCACTATGACTTATCAATGGTGGCATACTGACTTGTTAATGGTAGCATTATGACTTGTCAATGGTGACACTATGACTTGTTAATGGTGGCACACTGACTTGTCAATGGTAGCACTGTAACTTGTTGTTCATCGAATAACTTCTTAAAAGGGTTGGGTGCCGCGGCGGATATGATCAAGAGCCACGGCACCTTACACAGAATGACAGCTCCTTGGAACAGATGGGGGAGTCGCGACGGATATGATCAGACGCCGCGGCGAATTATCAGTTGTCAGTGGTGGCACACTGACTTGTCAGTGGTGGCACACTGACTTGTCAATGGTGGCACTATGACTTATCAATGGTGGCATACTGACTTGTTAATGGTAGCATTATGACTTGTCAATGGTGACACTATGACTTGT